AACTGCTGCAGTTTGGGTCAAAAGCTTTACTCGTTGGATACAAATATTTCCCATGATTCTCAGCGATCACAGCTTTCTAGGTCTTTGTTGACTAACTTTATTGAAATAACTTTATTGAAATAAGTGTGTTTACTCATTAAGCGTATTTAAATAAAAGTATCTATTTGTCTCCCCGATTAGTAGGGCACTTATAATAGATACTCAATAATTATAATAGATCGTGGGATGCATGAACAGATGAAATCTCTAGTCTCACTTTCTAGACTGACTTTGCCCTTTATGTGTTTTTAAAGTCTTTAAAGTCTTGTTAAAAACAAGATATAGCCTTGGGCATATTCTTGGGATTATTTGACTCAGCTGAATGAATCAACAATAAACAATGCGATCATGCTATCGAGTCTTTGCTTTTTCACTGCCGTCAGTCAAAAACATAAAAGTTATTCTAACGTACAACTTATTATTTTTGATGGACTGCAGCATAAAAATAAAAATAAAAAATAATAATAATAAATTTAAAAAAAAATCAGCATGCAGCTTGTAACTACCTAGTCTCCCCCACAGCCGCTTTCAGTGTCGTCACGCAACGCTTTCTCCCCTGAGGGGAGAAAGCGTTGCGTGACGACACTGAAAGCGGCTGTGGGGGAGACTAGTAACTACCCAGTTTTGCAGAATATCGAAAAACACAGCAATAACTAGGTTGTCTCTTACGAAAAAGGATGAAAGAAAAACTAGAAAAACCACTAAGTTTGTGAACCAAATACTTGTTATTTAACAAAAACTAAACTCAATAATGGATATCAAAGTTATTGCGCGTTCATCCGGTAAGCTGCTTGCACGTAGCTACTCACGGATTCCAAGCAGGGGGTTTTAGAAATAATATATTGTTAAAGAACATTGGAATTTTAGCTGTAATTAAAACAATTTTTATTTAAAGTTAAAAAAATAATCAAAATAATCGTTCCATGACGGGTTTCATGTTCTACGATTTTGTAACATACCTTGTTATATAAACATAAACTAAATAGGCGTTTGTAATAAATGCTCTCAAAAAATATATATCTTTTTAATTTCATTTTTTATTCTCAAAAGTTAACAAAGAAAAAAGGGGCCTGTGTTCAACTCGTAAACTTATTTAAGTTATTATCAAGCATAATTTGTATTATAAATTGGCATTTCTATCAAGCTTTTTTTTTTTTTGATCTCTGAAAAAGCTAAAGTGTTGACGGCGTGTCGTTTGAACGTTACAAATATTCAACTTGAGTAGGTAAATTTATAGTTTTATCAGTTGACTTCCCATCGTTGAAAATTAAAGTTCAAAACACGTCAGATGAAGCAGAACTGAATAGAGTTATTCACTGACTATAGCTGCATTAAAAAAAACTAGCTAAATATTAAGTTCATGTTTTATAAAAGTTTTCGAAATTCAAGAAAAACATACACTGAATCAAACTGTGTTAGCCTCGGTTGACCCTACAAGTTTAATCAACCAAATACTATATTGCAGTCAGTACATGACCATACCTTTTATTCAAGGTTCATTGTCTATAGTTTCAGCAGTAATTTATGCCGCATCGGAAAATAACTAAACGTTTGAGCGTTTTCGTAGAATTTTCCAATTCCGAATCTATACCAAACTACCTATAAGCTGTAAGCATAAAATCCCTTACATTGATATCCAAACTTTACTAGAAGCACTTAGCATGGGATATGATATATGGTTATATATATCTCGAACGTACATTTCCCAAAACTGAAGTAAAAATATGATATTTGAATCGTGATTGCCGTTTGCAATCATTTTATTCAAAAATGAAATAAGAAAATAATGGCCCACCATGTTTATTGATGTTGCCGTAGTGGCAAATCTAACCAACTGCTCATTTATTAGAATAAGCAAACAAATAAAGCAATACAAAAGTAGACGAAAACGGAAACCTTTGGCTTCAATTTGGTCAGGAAATTAGAAATAGCTTTATTCCGAGATGCGCTTTAGTTTGCGATCCAAGCAAGCAATTCCTTTCGCCTTTCTCACATGTCCGCCCGCAATACTTTCAAAAGCGGTCGTCATGTATCGAAATACAGCAGCCATCTTTAATGTTACGTTAGATCTCTCTAAAGTGATTTGAAACAACATTCCGAGTTCGGATAACTAATATTGAAACTTAAGTAAATAGTTTTTTCGTTCTTCGTACATCGTTCTAGATAAAGGCTTAGCTCTAGTTAACGCTTATTATAAAATAGATGATGTAGTTCCTAGTCATTAGAATGCATGATAAAAACGTTTCACTTAATCTTCAAAAGCCACCGTCATTAACTGAATCATGTTTTCATACGCATTATGGCACCAAATTATTCTTTTGGGGAGCATGCTGGATATATATTCTGCTTTCTAATTCTCTAGGTCGTCAAAAAAAATCTATAAATACTTCGTTAATCTATCTGTATGTAAGTTATTATTTATTTATTTATTTTTGTGTGTGTGATATATTCCTTTTACTTGCAAAAACTTCAAAGCGTTTGAAATTTTGCTTTGCCGGTCAGTAATCTCATAAATATAGAACTGAATTGTGAAGTCATCCGGTGAAAAGCAAAAAACATGCACCTTCTCACGCAAACAAACGAAAAGGAAAATTTTACGAGAAATATGCCCTTTCTTGTGTCAAAATAAATCAAGGAAAAAATATTTTGATATTTTGCTCTTTTTAATTTGAATTTATCATTAACTGGGTGGTTGATAGTTGAGGACATTGATTTACAAAACTCGATTATTTATGTAATATCACGGAATAGATATTTGGTTATAATAAACGTCAAACTATCTTCAGGGTTCAACTTAGTAAAAAACATAAACTTTTCAGACTCTAAAACAGTATTGGCAAACTTTAATGAATTTCTGCGTTGTCTTCCCATTTAAATGCCATCAATKTTCAAATCTATGTCAGGTGGGGTAGAACTAATGATTGTGTTTATAAAGCATGAAAAAAATGAAATTTAAAGGGTCATTGAAACCCCGACTGACACCATGAGATATTTAATAATCCTAGCATTTCTATAAACTTGTAATACCATGGAAAAGTGAATTGTACTAAATAAGAAGTGTACTGTGCGTGCACCGGCTTGGAAACTCCAGAAAACTGAGTTGCTATCGATATGATTTGATTTTGATTTAAAAAACAACTACGCCTTTTGGCGGATATTGAAAACAATTGTTATTTAACAAAAATGAATTCATTAATGGTATTAAAAATATTGCGCGTTCATCCGGTGAGCGGCTTGCACGTAGCTATTCACGGAGTCCAAGCAGGGGTTTTTAAAAGAATTGATAAAGAATGTTGAATTTTTTGCTGCATAACTTAAAAATTGAATAACTTTAGTAGTTGAAAATGAATAGAGTGACCACAGTAAATCCGTGAAACTTTAGTAATACTAAATAGCACAATTTCATGCAAATTCCATGGTTTTCTATTGTTTAATTAGCACCATTTTGTGCTATTTAGTAATAAGTGTTTCACGGATTAATTGTTTGCACTCTAAATAGATGGGTCTAAGATTTTATTCTATTAGGGCTTTGCAACTTGCCAGGCCATGCAAGGAACTTGGATTATGCATCGATCAATCTTGTGCCTTAGTGCTCATTGTAGTACCACTGTCAGAATAAGTAATTTTTTTATTCCCTTGCATAAAATAGTAAGACAGTTGGCACAAGGTTAACTCAAGGAAACAAAAAGTCAACAAGATAACGGAAAAGTATTAGCCATTTTAACTCGTAAGCTCATAGTTTAAGTTCAAAACACGCCAGATGAAGCAGAACTAATGAAGTAATTCACTAACTATTGCAGCATAAAAAATAGCTAAATATTAAGTTTAATTTAAAAAAATATTTTTTTTAAAATTTATGATTGACACTATATTTACATGTATGTAAGCAATCAAACACTAAATTGAACTGTTTTAGCCTCGGTTGGCCCTACGTAGCGTAAATCTAGGCAACCAAATCCTTTATTGCAGTGAATGATAACAATCTTTATTGAGAGAAGCTCTTTCACAAAAGTGATTTTCAAAGATGCCCTAACATAATAAAACKAAATAAATAAAGTATCAAATAAATATGAAAATAGGTTAAAAAGTTCAAAAAAGTTAGAAGTATAGAGTGCAAACAACTTATCCGTGAAATACTAATTACTAAATAGTACAAAATAGTTCTAATTATGCAATAGAAAACAATGGAATTTGTATGAAAAGTTGAAATCCACATATACATAATTTTTTATACTTGGTTTTAAAATATTTTATATTGAAATTATTTTTAGAACGAGCATTTTACTGGGTTTTTGTACACCTTTGTATAAAAGGAATGTACCACCAAGAAAGAATCTTAAAATGAATAAATTGTTTACTTAATGTTTATTTTTTTGCTTTGCTTCCCGTTTGTATATATATATTATAACGCAATGATAGTGGATTTGTAAGCTCGCAAACATTTTCCTTTGCTGTGCAATTCCATGACAAAGCCTTTCAAATCTACTTTTCCAAGTTTGTCAACAATTTTTGATAACTTTGTTTTATTTTAAATTTCATGTTCACTTTGTTCATAGAACCGTTCGTGAAGCAATTTCAGGAATTCAAAACAATATTTTAAAGTTACAAACTCATTGTTTTTCCGGCGTCTTTAATTCAAGTGTTTTTCACTTCGGACAAAAAAGAATCAAGCAACTGTGACAAGACTTTAAATTATTGTAAATCTAAAAATGTGAAATCATGAAGAAAGAAGTATCCACCCCTTCTGCGATCTGTCAATAATACTTTTAAAAATTGATTGTAAACAAAATATAGCCTTGGGCATATTCAGTATTATTCGATTTGAATGAATGAACAAAAATGCAATTATCCATTGTTTATTGACTCGACTTGAAAGCGTCATTAATCCAACCTATGATTAATTTAGAATAAATGCCAAATTTTTTCCTGTCTGGATAGTATAAAAAGGGTGACTTTGAACAACTTCATCATTTGGTTGTAACTCCTGCTGCAGACAAGTCAAAAACCTAGTGCTAAAACCATGAAGATCTATCTGATCGCAGCCTTGTTCCTGGGTGCCCTTGTGGTGGCTCATTCGTTTGAGGAAGACGAAAAGGTTGAGCTCCCTGAGGTACCTGAACAAGAAGAACAATCTGACGAGGGTGAGTTTAAATGGGATGTAATGTATGAATTCTGTGCTATTAGCTGATACATTCAGCGCTGCTATACTACACAGTACCTGGGTCCCGCCCATCAAGCCAAATTAATTTTTTCCTCTCTCTCTCTTCGATGCTAAAGTTAACGATCTTGTCAATGGTCAACTTTATCAGCATGCGTGTTTTATTGTGTACAGAATTAATTGATTTGTGGAATCTTACTAGACTAAAAAAGATAGAGAGTAATTCAACCTTTTTTATAGTCAGAACCGAACCGCACTACAAATATTTATACATTTCCTTAACCTTTGGATAATTTTCTCAGCTAAGTGGCCGTTTAAAAGGATTGAAACAATCAAGCGTGTAATATTTATTTATGCCATTTATTGACCTGAAAATGTTCAGCGCTTGTGCGCGAACGCTCCTGCTCGTTGCCCTTTAAGCTATACTGACTTTATCATATTATCATTATAATTTTTTAAATGTTTTGCATAAATATTGTCATAATTTTTTTTCTTTTTCTTTCTAGAAATAAACGCTCCTCCAGCTACCGAGGGAGACGCTCAAGGTACTTTATTTGAAATCAAAAATTTATAGATATAAAATAGAGTTAGCTTCTCTTATGGAATGGATTTTTTTCTCTCTTCTTTTTTTAATTTTAAGAATCTGAAGATGAAGTTGCAGAGAAGAGAGCTCTTAGGAATGTCTTGAGCTCTTACAGTTGTCTTCAGCTGAAAAAACGACGATATTGTAGGCATGCAATCATCAGGAACCTTTGCGCTGCCACCTGCGGTATGATATTGTATTACTTTATTTATTTTATCATTTTACCTTTTTTTTCAATTAAATTTCATCACCTTTTCTTCTCTCCTTCTCTTCTCTTCTCTTCTCAAGCATGTTAAGGCCTGGGTTATGAACAAATTGTTTCCAATAAACGGGAAAAATTTAGGTTATGTGACCACGACATTTACATAAATTTACATACAAATTCATTTTAATAGTAGGTGCTCATTTTAAGTCTTTGCTGAACGTTTTCAACCTCAATTTATTTCCTTTCCTGAAGTCGTTCAATGGACGTTGAGAATGGTTGGCTAAAGTTTTGTGTTAAGGAGGTATTTTACAAAACAGGTCACGTGACCTGTCAAAATGTCCTCTATGCCCTTTTTTTTCCCTTTCGTAAACATTCTGGTCGACCATTCCAAACGTGAATGTGTGTATCTTTGTCGCTACTTTCAAACAAGCTAAAGAAATCTCACAAATAATCTCAAACCATCACCTAGTTTTTAATTTAGCATTTTCCCTCTTTTAAGGTCACGTGACCACCTTTTATGCACATTTATCCATCCAAAAAGTTAAGCACCCCAAATAAGGATAACTGTTGGAGTCTCATTTAATTACATCTAAAAATGAGGAATCTACAGTGAAAAGTAATTTTTGCCCACACTTTTTCCCATCCTTCAGTTAAGCCGCAGTCTGCATAGACAATTTGTCAAGATTCAAGACTCGAGGGAAAAGCAATTGAATGCAACTCTCTTTTTTCTTCTTCTTTCCTTCAGGTATCTGCAGAGACAGTTTGTCAAGAGTCAGTTGCCTTAGAATAAGAAATCTGAAGAAGTGTAACTACGCCATTGCACGTCTTTATTGCCGTCGTACATGTAGTCATTGTAAGTAATAAATTCATTACTAAACATTTTAATATTGCACATCTTTTAAAGTGCAAATGAACCCTTCGACAATACTT